CTACTTATTTTACACATCTTACTTCAGATTCTCAAAATTTGATTTTCAGTGTAGTTGTTAGTTTGTTAAACTAGTGCTAATTTATTGGTTAAACTGATAATCTGGAGTTTATGGTGATTGGCAAAGGCAAATATCAAATCAGCAAAATAAGCAAATTAGGCCCAGGATCTTCAGCCACAAAGCAAAGAATAAGTATCTCCAAGTGTTTTCATTTAGAACTCAATGACTGACAAAGAATTAATTTCCTCATCACTGCACTCAAAACTTGAGTCTTCCTAGAGCTCTGCATTTCATAGACTATCACTCTGTTTCTGGGATATTCAAAGCATTGCTCCTGCAAGCTTCAGTCCCAGAGCACTTTGCCCTGTGCAACAAATGATCAAAAGAAGCTGCCATGATACTCAGGGAACAAAGCAAAAATTGCATACAAATCCTTAATTCTATTACTGTCTTAGTGTCAGTGCTCAACTTTGTCACATCCTGTTAATACAGCCCAGTAGATGCTCAGCATAAAATGCTCCACCAGCAAAACCAGAAATTTGCTGACAGCCAAAAAGAAGGATGTTACTTAGGTTCCAGGATTTATACCAATATTCTAAAGGTATAGTGATCCAGCAAATGTTTTATCCAGTTCTTATCCCTCTGACAGCTCCTGGACTCTCTATTCCAAGTTCAAAGCAGTTTGCCAAATATGTCTTAGCCTCCTGAGTCATAGAATCATAGAATGTTGTAGGTCATATATTTCCAACTCCACTTTTGTCTTGTCTGCTGATTGTCCAAATCATCCCAATTTCATTAGTGTCTCCACTCTCACTCACTCCTGGAGTCAATGCTCTCTCCTACATGGTGTAGTCCAGCTTGCCTTTCATTAACTATGCATGGCCCACTTACTCTCTTTAGCTAAAACCTCACCATAATTTTTTTTACTTCCCTGCCAGCTTCCTTATCCTCATTTCCTCACATCATATCTGATCTTGTACCCCTTGAATCTGTAGTAGGTAGCTACATAATTTTCTTGATGTGAACAAGAGTTACATATCCCTGACAGGGCTGAGTAAAAGTTATCTCCCAGAGTGGGACAACTATGTGTTTTCAGGAAAAAAAAAAAGTTCCAGTATTTTTTTAGCATGGGAAAAACAATGTATTTTTTTCTAGTCTTGTTCTTGGAAGACATTAAACTGTTCTGGCTGAAACCTTCTGAAGCGAATTCAGACAGAGGCAGACACCAAATGAAACATGGAAAAATTTAGTTTGAAAAGCTACTTTGACAAAGTTGTGAACAGCTGAAAATAGCCCTTAAGGGCTGGAAGTGCCTGGCAGCCATAGCAGTAGATGCTGTTACAAGCCCTGCCTGCAGTGAAAGGGCCACCCTACCAGGTCACCCACTTCAGTGACAATCAAGCATAACCCAACTGCACTTCTGGAGTAACTCCGTGTCCCTGCCAACCAAGACAGGACTTCTGCAATTTAACTGTCCAACAATTTGGTGCCTCCATGAATCCTGACAGGGAGACCCTCAGAACACTTCTCCACTCTCCAGGGCTGTGACACAGAACATGAACTGCGAGATCGCCCCGAGCTCCAGTTTCTGAGGTGGCAGTTCATGGCAAACAGCTGGTGACTGGGCTCCCAGCTATCCAGATTCCCTCTGTCAGAGTCAGTTGTAGCTCTACTTATGTCTTCAGCCTCTCCTCCCTGAATTTGGCTGTAATGGACCTACCTAGAGTAATTAGGCCACCTGTTGCATCGCCAGATCCATTTAAGGGAGTTCTTCGGCGCTCCGGTTTACACAGTTTGACAGGAATTGTTTAATGTACCAGTGTAATGGCACTGCAAAGTGAAATCGTGGCATTATTTTAGTCAATAAATATAATTACATGCTCAGACTACCGTGAGTTGTTATAATTAGTTCTCCATACAGCCCATAAAATGCCAAATTTTTTGCACATTACATGATGTGGGATGGGAATTGCGTTGGCAGATGATTAGGATATTTACAAACAATTGAGTTTTTACAGCTCAGAAAGATGTTTTATCCCTGGTTAAAAAAAAAAAAAATATCAACTGTAGAACTTGAAAATGGCTATTTGTTTTGGGAGTAAATTTGGTTTTACTGGTTCCATTGTTACCACAAAAAAGGTCAGCATAAATTAGCACAGTCCTAACAGAGACCAATTCATCCATACATCATACAGTTTTATTTTTGGTTTAGATGCATAAATAGGATCTATTTAATCTATATATACATATATATCTATATATACATATACATATGTTCTCCACAATAATGTCTTCAGGCAAAGAGTGGGGTATCTTCTCAGTAGGTTACATGGTAATTTTGGCCACTGCTTAGCATGCAAATTATATAAATTAATATAAACATACCAAATAGATTTATATACAGTGGATTTTAATCAATATATTAAAAATAAAAATAATTTTACATTAGCAAGGATTTTAATATCACAGTATTTCACTTTAATTTTTCTCTTTCTTTACACATACCTTTGTTTCATGTCTTGAAAGGGCACTCCACCCTGTAATCTTCATTCACTCTGTCCACTGCTCAAAACTGACATTAAGCAATTGTTTACTTTTAAATAAATTCTTAAATGCAGACACAAAATCAACAGGGTATAAATATATTTTAAATATCTAAATGTCAGCACACTGTTTCATAGGAAATACCAGTGGATACTTTCAGATCATACCACACTTAAGGGGCTTAGATTTTTCTCCATGGAAAGAGAGAGGGAAAAGACCTATGGGGGTAAAGAGGAAGATCTCAATCTCCTTTATATTTTTCACTCCTAAAAGTGTGATAGTTCTAATTTTGTAATGCAGGATAAAGAGGATGGCTTCCCACATCCTGCAGGATGGGATAACAACAATATGAATGCAATGAGAAATTAGCCAAGTTGCTATTAAAATTGCTTTGAATGCATAAGGAGTCTAGCAGGCAGCAAGATCTAAATTAACTCTTCAGTCAAAATTCTTATGATTATTAAATTATTTAAATATGCTTCAAAACATGGATGTTCCAATAAACTGCTTGGGGTTGCAGCCAGTTTTACCACTGTAGGACACAGAGCAATATTATGCCAAATTATATTTGGCCAGACCACTCTTATAATCAGAGTGCAACTCATGTGACTAAAATAAGGTGCAAATCAAATGTTTTTAGGTACATAAATACCAACAGATCCAGTCCATAGGGTATGGTCCATAACAAGACCACAAGCTCTGATTTACAGGGAAAACCTGAAACACTGCCCTGCAGGGACAAAAAAATGAAAGTTGTGAATTCCACACTGATGTCAGTTCCAATATCCCCAAATGTTAAAGGCAGTAAACCACAACTTCACCCGTATGGCTTCTCATTACATCCACACTTTTAATTAGTACAAACAGTATACTGTTTTGTATTGCTTGTCAAATGCAATTTCCATAGGACTGAAATAAAGAATGAGAAGATTTACTTCTTAAAGGCATTATCAATTTCTCCACAAGCTTTGTTTTGCACAAAACAGCTCAGAATAGCGATGATTAACTGAAAGAAGAAAAATGGATTACTGTCACTATTTTTCCAGTTACTCCTTATAAAAGGGATGTTGGCACATCAAGTAGACAACATGCACTTTCCTTTTGTGATTTGCTGGTGTTGTAGAAACAAAAAATGGACAGAACTATCATTAAAATCAGGAAACAGACAAGGGGTTAGTTACATCTACATATAAGGGTTAGTTACATCTACATATAATTTATTGTTGTCGGGCAGGATTTCAAGCCCATGACATGCACCTTCATGCATTACAGGCTGTTTTGTAGATTGGTCATCCACCATAAATAAAAAATGATGCTGAAATCAATTGACCTGACATTTACCCTGCCTCACTGCTAAGCACATATCAACTCTCATGTCTGATTTTCAGGAGGCTCTAAAAGACAAGGGCTGATGAGCAGTTACTAATGACAAGCCTATAGGAGTGTGTGACTCATGAATGGGCCAGAAACTCTGTATGGGAATACTGTAGGCTTTTACCTAGCTCAACTCTGATATTATCATGTGAGCTACCAAGATATATAAAAATAAATATATGAAGTAGTAACCTTCCCTTTCACATGAGATAGAAAATGATGAAACAAAAAAAAAAGGATTTTTTAAAAAATAATTTTTAAAGATTAACTAGGCCAAGGATAGAGCATTTCTAGGGCAAGGTAACACAATTTCCCTATCTTTACTGTAGAAAAATTTAGTTCTTAAAAGACAGTATTACACTGTTGTTTGACTTAATACAACATCTATTTTAAAGAAGACAGTTCATTTGAAAAACTTTGCTTGCTTTTGCCAGGGAAGTTAAGAAATTACCAAGAAATCCCAAGTCACTTTGTCCTTGGGCAAATAGTCAAATCCTCCAGTGTCCTAGTAGGGTGCTTGTTTCAGGCTAGGCATGAAGGTCACTTGCAGGCTTTGGTATCAAAACTCACTCATGTTGTCACCCCACTTGTTGTTGGTGCGGAAGCACAGCCAGAGTCCATCAAACAATCTCTGAGACACAAATCTGTTTTCCATGGAACAGATTATTCCAGTGGTATCCACCTTGTACTGGTACTCATATACATCACTTGCTAAGAAATGTGAATATTTGGCAGATTATGGTCAGCTAAAATCATTCCATCAGTTTCAGATCTGACTGGCTGGGAAGGGCCATGAAAAATTTGGTACCAAATCAACCAGCCAGGTGAAAATGTGCTCCTGCCAGCCCACAGCATGGCTTGTGGACACTGAGCACTCTTGGATTGCCCAGCAAGAGGGTTCTTTCCAGCTTGTTCACATCATTTAATTGGCAGAAGTCCACAAGTCTGTTCCCAACAGCAAATCCATGCTCAAGTCAGATAGGAAGTCATTTGACTCAATCAGTTGTCATTGCTTCGCCTCTGTCAGCATAGGGCTTTCTGAAGGATCTTCACTCAGCTGCAGTCTCAGCAGGTCATTTCTCTCTCATCAGATCCCAAGGTAAAAGCTGCTCTAGCTCCATTTACCTTACCCAGCTCTCCCCATTGTCAATTCAAACCTGAACGAGCCTTTTGAAGTCTTAGTCCTCTTTTTTTGTGCCAGGAAACCTTTGGGACAGTTTATAATCTATATAAGCACTAAGACAGGACCACAAAATGAATCGTATTAATATAATTACAACCAGCAAAACCATCAAAAGGACTGATTCCATAATTAAGCTAGAATAAAGAGGTAATGTGAAAAAAAATACACTGGGAGATCTAATTATATAATGCAGCATTCAGTTCTGCACAGCCAGCCCAGCAATTCCTCTAACATTCCAATCAAAGTGATCTCACTAGCATGTGGGAGAAGAGTCCAGCTGACAGATTTGGGACATGTAACGTACTATTTAGTCAAGAGGCCCCATGTGCTATTCATAAAGAATTAACAAACTCATATTGACAATGACAGTATTGTCAGAAGACCTTTGGAAGGGGGGAAAAAACCTCCATAAACTCTGTCTCTGTGAAGTTGGATTTTTTTTTTTTGGTCCCTCTTTTCCAATGCTGATGTAATCTCCAAACATCTCCAGCAGCAGCTGCTCAGCGAAACCAGGCACCTTCTTCCTAGTCCCTTTCAGCAGCACACGCAGCACTTTCCAGCTCCCTCAAGACAATCAGGGCCTTTCTTTCACCAATTAGCTATCACTTCAAGAGTCCTGTGCTGTCCAACCAGCTCTTAAGAATGGTCTTTGCAGGAAACAACACTGGAGGAGCTATTTTTTCCCCCCTAGACAAATGAAAAGGGGAAGAAGGGGAGGGGGAAGAGGGGGACACAAAAAAGCACAAGAAAACAAATCAGAACACAGAAGCTGTCCAAAATGCATCACTTATTTAGTACACAGACAAATGCAGAAATGTCCTCAACAGCCAAGGCTGGAGCAAAGCACACACACACACACAAACACAAAAAAAAATGGTCCTAGTTTTTTTAGGAGATAGTTTGTTTAGTCGAATATGTTAAAAAGGTTTCGTAGAAAGAAGTGCTCTTGTTACAGCAAGTCTGAGCTGCTCAAACTGAAATGGAATGAAATTCCTGTAAGATTATCCTCTGTTTCCTTATTTGGCTCTCCAAATGTAAAGCAGCATTATTTGAAGCAGACACTATAGGAAAGAACTCGGTTTAGCTCACTTTAAATATAGATGGATTGATGAAATGAGTAATTACTGGAACTGTTAAGATCTTTTCAGACTTACTAACTAGCAAGTTCCTTTCCCCAGAAACAGCACTTTCTGTCTAAAAAGAAATTAAAGCCTGATTCAGAGACATAAGGCTTTGAAAATTCTATGTTCTTTTTCCCTTAAATTCAGGGTACAGTAATACCTTGAGATTACAGGATACAGTAATATCCTTAGAGATGCCAAGTCCTCATTAGAACTAGCACAAACTCCAGGACCCACTTCAGAAGAAAACAAGGAACTTTTATTGATGTTTAAGCTATTCCTTGCCTGGGCCTGGACATGTGGAATTATGATGGCAAAACTGGGAAGAATCAGCAGTAAGTGAAATGACTTGGATATGGTTCAAGCAATAGCCCTGTGTCAGAGGTGCTTCCTCAATTTTTAAAAATTCTGCATTAGGCCAAATGCCATACCAAAATACTGGCTGTCAGTATCCTCTCAAAGTATCACTTTCTGGTCAAATTTGTCCTTGATTGGGGTAGCCTCATGAAAGTCAACATGTTGCCTACTACACAGCCAACAGAATCACATTTACACTGCAATTAAAAAAGCTAAATAAAATAATCTGTTCCCTTTTATTGAATGTGTATCAGAAGCAAAGCCCTGGGCTTTGTAAACAGTTAAATGGTAGAGCAAAGCAAATACTTTCAGGGGTTTCAGGAGTTTGTTCACACTAACGGGTGTTCTCAACTACCACATGGATTCCTTAATGGAGGTGGAAAGTGTCAGAACTGATCAGATTGCTTCAAAGGCAAGAAAGTCTGACATATTGCTCTGCATGCATTTATGAGGGAATGGGAATCAACTCAAATTCCTCTGTTCAGGAAGGCTCAACCAAGGGATGAGTACACAAAATCAGGATTAAGGAGGAATCTTTGAGGAGGCACACCAAACAATGTCTTTTTATACCTACAGATTGCAAAAGCTGCTGAGTTTAAAGGGACTGCTCCTTTCAACTAGCAAAGACTTTGCTGAAAAAATGCAGCAGGCTGGAGAGAACAAATAAATACAGATGTATCTATTACTAGGGTCACCTACAGCTACAGGAAAATGGATAAAGGGGCCCAAAAGGTCTACCAGCTCGCCGTAAAGGAAAATCAACTACATCATTCCTGACAGCTGTTTCTCTAACCTGCTCTTTTCTTTTAAGAGACCCACACCCACACAGATGAGAAAAAAGAAAATCATCATCTCATCTGAAAGGGGTTTCAGCAGCAAAAACAGTTTGACAAACTGTTGAGTGGGTCTATTTGCTGCAACAAGACAGGGGCTCCACAGTATGCACTCACTTGGGCAACTGGCTCATTTGGTAGCTGTACAATTAATTATTGGCTGAGGCGACAATACCTGAATTTTTTTAGAGAAGCAGTATCTTTGTACCAGCCCATCTGGACAGCTCTAAGGAAAAGTGCATCTTTCGTGACAACCCTCTTCCTCCAGCGTGGTGCAAGGCAGCTGTCTGTGCTCCAGCAGCATTGCTGAAAACCACTGATTTCAGCATGAGCTGCAACCCAGCACATCCCATGCCTTGGCCACCAGCTCCAGCTCACCCTGCTAGCCCCGAGGAGCCTGGTGGATACTTAAGGGCACACCCCAGGGATGAACTGGGGGTTCACTGCACTGCCAAGGGAACAGGTGCCTCCTCCTGCCTGGGCTCACGAGCGGTGCTCAGCTCCGGCAGTCCCTGCAAGGTGTCAAAGCCAGAACAGAGGCGGCACAGTCCTGGCGCCTGGCACCGGGATGTGCCCAGGACAGGCTGACACAACTTCCCTGCCAGCTGCCTGGGCAATGGCAGCTCCCTGGCTCCACATGCCACGGCTGTCAGCTTGGCAGCCTGCTTTTATTCACACACAGGAATGCTGCCCAAAATGGAAGGACATGCTTTCCTGCTTGGATTTTGCTCCCTGGGACAGATTTCCTCCCACGGAAAATTAATGGCACGGCATGAGCAAGGCAAATTTAAATGCCAGATGAAAACTGGTGTGGCTGGATTTTAGAAAACACAGTTTAACATGGGTAGTTGTTCTTCCTCTCTTTGCAAAGTATTTTGAGAACAAGTGAGGAAAAGCATTATGTGAAGCCTATACATTGAGCATTATTATTTGGATTTTCCCAAATTTACTTTTTCACACAACAGATGTTCCTAATGTCTGGCACCACTTTTAATGATGTGCCTTTTTTGAAGAATGTGTGCTTTATCACCCATAAAAGCCTCCTCTCTGTTCAAAGTTTATTTTATTAAAATCATTTTTCAATCAGTCATCTCTCTAGGGAACAATGACATGATAGAACAGTATTTCTGACGGGCAATATTTTATTACCAACATGCGTTTTCATCACACAACCAATATTACTACTCTATTCTGCTATAAATATTTATTAAAATCCTCTAATCTGTAACTATTTCCAAGATAAATTTAATACTTTGCTTTTAAATTATCACATAATTAATTGTTCTGGTAAATGCCTATTGAAGGGTAGTTTAGGGGAAAAAAGTACATATTACACAGTCTTGTTGACTTTCAAAATGTAAGGCAACAGATTTCACATCTCATTTTCCAATTCCCTTACAAAGCAATCTCGTAAAGTATCACTAAACTCCCAAAATTTTAAAATATCAAGTAAACTTACAAGTGGCAAAGCAGACATTACAACAATAATCCCAAAGCACTCACTGTTATCACCAGTTTGAACTATATCCCAAAATATAAGTAAATTAGAATGAAAAAGTAGGATATTTGACTTACTGCATTTTCCACACATTCAAAAGTCAGGATATCTACCAAAGGAAGGAGCCAAGAGTTGCAGGTGTTGGCAAGGCTAATAAGAAGTTGCGAATTCTTGTTGAAAAAAAAAGGAAAAATTCAAGACCAGCACTTATCTGTCAGAATCACATTCCTTCTACAGTTATCAGAGTCAAAAAAGGCACCTTGCTCCAGGTTACATATGTGAAACCTCCTGAGCAAGCATTCTACATCATACTGAAAACAAAGTACTGCTTAAAAAGAGTCAGATCAAGATGTCACCGCTCTAGAGGACAAAAATCTGACATTCAGAGTCAATTATTCCTATCACACCTAAGTTGTGATAACATGCACATATCAAGATCATTAAGCCCTGCATTGAGTCAAAGCAAAGTCAACACCTGCCCCACGAGTTTTCTCCTGGAAAATCCCCAGCAAACACACTCCTCCCACTGTAATCAGCTCAGTATGCCCATTTCTATGATCAAGAACAACAAGGACAGACAGAAGATACTTCATTTATTACATGTTTCATCCCTTAAGACTAACTTCAGCCTCCATAAAACCATAAGTATTAGTAAAACCCCAGCTCATCCTCAAAGGGGTCAAAAGTGAGATTTAAATGCAACAAAAGAGCACAAATCACAGGAAATAGCAATAAAAGTGAAGGGAAAGGACTAGAAGGAAATGTAACAAAACCTTATAAATCAATCTTAAAAGTGATTACACAAAGACATCTGTATTTCCAAAAAGACTTGATGAAACCTCTGCTGTCATTCCATGACCACCTCCATGTGCTGCTGGATGGGGTAATGGTCAGCAGGAGACATCTTGGTTCACTTTCATTTACAGGAATTTCTTACTGGGAATGTGATCAGAACACAACCCAGCAGTAGCAGAATAGATCACATACAGGCCACGATACTTAATGGCACCAATCAATTAAAAGATTAGCAATGCCCAAAATGTCCACCTAATTGTGAACAAATATAAAAATACAAAAATACTTTGTGACTCAACAGAAAAAACCAGGGATACATATTTAAATTTACGTTATAAAGTTCAGAGCAGTGTGTTATCAAGTAATTATTATCTCCTTAGCGATCAGAGAGATCATACACAATTTGCAAAGTTTTCACACTCAGATGCCCAATTTTGGCATAGAAAGAACCTCAGGGTTTTTTGCTGAGGAAATTAAGGAATTATCACCAAAAATGACCAGGCACAATGATCTAGCCCTAAACCAACCTTTTCTGGTTGGTTTTCATCAGTAGATTTTTTTTCCCCCCACTGAATTAACAGAATTCACACCAATACAGCAGAGAATTTAATGAGTACTATTTTTGACAAAACAACGTTTTCAACAAAGTGCCAGTTTTTCAAACATAGAAAACTGGCATAATGTGCTTCAGTTTCGACAAAGTATGTGCCAAGAGCTGCCTTCCAGAGCCCTACAATTCAAGATCAGTACAAACCAGACAGATCACAGCCTTCAAACATTATGCAGCCAAGGCACTCATGCATAAAACCACAGTTTGAGCCTTTTGATGAGTACTGTGGTCACCTGTCTCTGGGCTGTTCCCAAGCCTCCCTTCACTTAAGATCCTTGTTTCCTTTTCACTGTGCAAAAATCAGACTGGGACTTTCAGAAATGTCACAGGATGGAAAACTCATTTCTCTCTCATCTGCAACTCCATGTCTTTGGCAGACCAGATCACTTGGATTATGCTCTGCCTGCACTGTACCAAAAAGAGTTCAGACCCAAACCTGCCTCTGGTTTACAATTAAATTTGGGTGTCCTGGT